TGGATCTTGAATGTTTCATTCTGGTCAGTGGTTTCCACACTCACTAGTCCGTCCTTCGGCCTCTCATACAGCCTCACATAGATAAGTGGAACCCACAGAACATTTTAAACAATGTATATTATCACTATGAAGACGAGCAGAGAGCAGAGCCACCAGAAAAGTTCCATAGTGCTCCTTTATTATGAATAATACCTTTGAATGACTTGATTCTCTGCAGCAGGTGTCCACACTCCTCTATGATCTTGTCTTCACAGGCCCTCTTCCCCATCCCGAAGTCTCTCAGGTTGGTCAGAACAAAGCGCCGCATCTCCCTCCATGTTTTTCCATTAGCAAAGACAATTCCTGAAAACATTCACAGAAACAATGAGAAATGCACTTTAGTTTGGCTTTATTGGTTTATGTGTAAGTGTGTCAGGCACGGGTGGGCAAGGGCGCCTGAAGGATTATGGGAGGGTACACAAAGCCAAGTGGAAGACAGACCCTCCACTCAGTCTGCACATTTACACCTGACACATGGGGCTTTGGAGGTCCATGTCTCTGTGAAACGGGAAACAGTCATTATTCGTTTTTTTTTTTTTTTTTCATTTTTCATTTAAACACAAAATCAAAAACTAAAAAACAAATTATCTGTTTTTTTCATTTTGAGTTTGTAGAATAATGAAGAAAACTGTTGTTTTTTCGTTTGGTTTTTTTTTGGTTTTATTTTGAAAAATGACTGAACGAATGATACACGGATTACTAGGTGGCGCCAACCTGGCTACAAAAATCTTCATTTGGACGAGTATACAGCCCCAACACTTTCCCCCACCCCTCTGCCATAACAGTAAGTGGGACACCCCCACCCCGACTCGTGAAAACACAAACGGAGGTGTAGGGGAAAGTGTGAGGGCCAAGGGGCGTAATGGGTTTCAGCCTTAGTCTGAGGACCTGTCCAAATGACAACGTTTTTTGGTCAAAACTGAGAAGTTTGCACTGGTTTTGACCTTTCGTCCATACAGAGTCGGCGTTTCGGGATGGCGAAAATTGTGTTTTTTGAGAATGGGTTCCAGAGTGGAGAAATCTGAGAACGCTGGTGCTGTGATGTCGTGTGGACGAGCAAACTGCAGCTTTTGGAAAATGATGAAGTCGCCACCCCGTCATCGCCAGAGTCCTCCGATGCAGCGAAGTCTGTAGCCCTCGAACTGGTCTCCACGAACCGTAAGGTCGTTGCCAAAATGTGACAGGTGCAGCCCACGGAGACGCTCCTGTCGCCCAACAACCGAGACACGCACTAATGCTAATGCTAACAACACGCACCACAGACAATGGATAAATAACAAAGATTACGCACGGGTAATTAAACTGTTGGATTTTGACACCAAGTTATTCCAATAATTCTCAGCCAAATCTTATGGCTAAAAATGAAAATGTATGTTTAACTTTTGCAAAACAAATTGTCTATATTTCTGGAATACATTTAAAAAAAAAAAAAAACTGTGATGACATTTGCATTATTAAAGCAGAACTAAGTAACATTTTTACCTTAATTAGTGTGTGTTTGAAGGGTACACTGGCGCCCCCTGCTGTCTCTGGGCGGAAAAAACAGACATGTAACTTTGTCATGTCGTCAGCTCCCAGCGCTCTGGTCTCGTGAGCGCCAAATTGCTTTACGACACTTCTCCATACACACAGGTAACCGAGCTGCAACACTCCCCTTACCGAGACTCGCCGCAGTTCAATATCTAGAGTTTATTTGTGAAGCGTCAGCCATGTCATGACCAGCTCAGAGACAGAGGAAGCCTTTGTCCGAGGACGCAAGAAAAAGAAAACGTGAATCGGACACAGAGCCCGAGCTCACAGGAGTCAATGTGAGGAAGGAGTTTGAGGAATAACAGAGCTCAAGGAAAACGGAGCAAAGCAGATCTGCAGATATTGTTACTGAACACGTAAGTTTCACGTGCATTGCTCCTATCACTGTTATAGTTCTGTAACTTGAGTAATTGTTGGATGTATACAGTTTGTGTTGTCTGTGAACAAAAACAAGTGCAATTTGGAAGTTTATCCCTGACGTGATATCTGACTATGACTATGTTTACACTGAAACGAATCACTGTATCGGAAATGATCTGCATCCAAACACGTTTCTTTGTCTGCAAGTCTTATCTATCCACACAGCTTTGAGCATATTTGTTTACATTTTACAGAAACAAAATTTAAAACCGCATGGCTAATTTGCATAAACTAAGCACTCATAAAACAGGTCGCTATTGTGGTTTGATGCGGTTCAGCTTCTGTCAGACTAAAAGACACGACTCAGTGGAATATGAGTGTTCTTTCTGTGACAGAGGGGTGTTCTGCTGATGGTGAGTCTGTTCTGTTTCTAACTTTAGCCCAGATGTAAAATCAGCCCGAACGTTTAGTAATGCATTTGTGTTAGATCAGCCCGTTTGGAATTTCGAGGGAAATTTTATGTGATATTATTTATTTAAAGAGTGAAATTACATTACCCACCTGAGATATTGTTGTGTACAATGTTCACCAGCTTTGTGAAAACTTTTTTTTTTTTTTGGACTTTAGGATAGACTTATTATTATTATTATTATTATTATTATTATTATTATTATTATTATTATTATTATTAAATTGTATTTATTTATTTATTTTTATTAAATTATCATTACTATTTTCCTTATTTTCCATCTGATCTTAGATCTCTATTTAATTTTTTTTACTCCGACCTTTAGGAGTTTTATGTTTGTTTTATGTTTCCGGTCCGTCGAACTTGAATAAATTATAATAATAAACCCAAGCCCCCAGGTTCCAAAATGGCCGCCCATTCAAGTCAATGGGCTGAGCTCAATGCATGGATCTATTAAAATAACTGGATACAGTATTGCTGCTTGTAGCTGCCTCCAGTTGACGTAGTGTCACTCACAGGAACTTCAGCGAAAAAAAATCCCATGGGCCGAGACAAGATTTTTCTCATAGAGGCAATGTAATCACAAACTGCTCGTGTTCGTCTGACAGGTCACCTACAGCTTTCAAAAATGTCGGATTTGTGGCGATTTTTACCTATTTTTAGATCATAAACTTTTTCTCGCTCAAAATCCTTCAGTTGTCTTAAAAAACGTTTTTTATATTCGTTAGCTTCCGGCTATGCTCTGCTCCGCTTTAGCTCCTCTCACTCTGATTGGTCAAAGCGATCACGTGATACACGAGCCCGCGCTCCGTGCGTGTGGTCGCGTGCATTCGCGTGTGCCCGTGGGAGAAAAGAGCACTACTGCGCATGCTCGGTCGGCCCGCGGCCCCGGAAGTACCTAGCCGGGCTAGGCTAATCTGGGATCATGCGCCATTGAGCTCAGCCCATTGACTTGAATGGGCGGCCATTTTGGAACCTGGGGGCTTGGCTCAATGGCGCATGATCCAAGCCCCCAGGTTCAACATGGCCGCCCATTCAAGCCATTTTGGATTTCTTCAGAAAAACCAACTTCAAAAATTACACATGAAAAGAGACTTATCCTACTGCCCCAATTGGCTCAAATGGTCTTATGTTATAAAATGGCCGACACAAACGGCTCGAACTTTTGAATTTTGTTTTTACATAAATGTAGAGTGAAACAGTGCAGTCTTATGTCTTAAACACTCCTACCTCATTCATGGTCCGAATACGTCGACCGTCCTGTGATTACTTTCCCATAAAGCATTGCGGCCAACAGAAGAC